GCGATAATGCAAAGCTCACGTTCCTTGTGGTCGTTCGAGCACTCTGGCTCCATTACGCTCTGCGCATGTCTGGATGCGTTGAGTCACCGTGTTGTACCACATGCCTTGGTGAGAGCAAGTTCATGGGGTATAAATACGAGTGTCTCACGTATCTGGACGTGTACCAAGCTGCACTGACGAGGCGTTGAACGCAGAAACATGCATGTCTGCAGATTGTACTATTACGCTCCTTCACTTCGGTGTTGTTGAGCACTCTGCGGAGTTGTTAATGGGTGTCTATTAGCGATAATGCAAAGCTCACTTCCCTTGTGGTCGTTTGAGCACTCTGGCCCCATTACGCTCTGCGCATGTCTGGATGCATTGAGTCACCGTGTTGTACCACATGCTTTGGTGAGAGCAAGTTAAAGTCTCCTTAGGTGAGAGCAAGTTAATCTAGACGTGTACCAAGCTGCACTGACGATGCGTTGAACGCCGAAACATGCATGTCTGCAGATTGTACTATATATATATATATATATATATATATATATATATATATATATATATATATATATATATATATATATATATATATATATATATATATATCACAAGTTTTGTAACGTATAGTGAAGAGAGTGCTCAATACATAAAATTATGTAGAGCGAATGTAGTTACTATTCTTACTTAAAATGTTTTTTGTCTCTACTCCGAGAGGTACGGAAAAAGTTGCATACATTATTCGAACAGTTCAACTTGAAGATCACGGCCCAAGTAAACCACCAATCTGTCAACTTTCTAGACGTCACATTCAACCTTGCAGAGGAACGCTACCAACCATATAGAAAACCCAATAATGAACCCATTTACATTGACAGTCGCTCGAACCACCCACCAGCCATAATTAAACAGCTACCTAAATCAATAAATCACCGTATATCAAATTTATCCTCTGATCAGCAAACCTTCAATTCATCAGCACCAACCTACGAGAATGCATTACGTCGTAGTAATTATGATTTTAATTTACAATACAATACCACGCCTTCAAGTAATATTGACGACCCCAACACTGAGAGTTGTACGTCCAGCCAGCCGAAGCGCAAAAGACACAGAAACATACTATGGTTTAACCCCCCTTACAGCAAAAACGTAGTAACAAACATTGGTAAAACCTTTCTTCAACTTATCGACAAACATTTCCCTAAATCAAGTCGTCTACATAAGGTCTTTAACCGCAATTCAATCAAAATTAGTTACAGCTGCATGAAGAATGTCAAAACAACCATTTCTAACCACAACACGAGAACTAGATCGACCAAACCCACGGCAACAGACGAAATTAACTGTAACTGCCGCAAGAAAAATGAATGCCCCCTCCAGAAGAAATGTCTGACCCAAGCTATCGTGTACCAAGCCGAAGTAAAGAGTCATGACAACGGCGAAACGAAGCGGTATATTGGGGTGACAGCTGGGGAATTCAAAGACAGGTACAGAAACCATAAAAAATCATTCGAGCTTCAGAGATACGCGAACGAAACGGAGCTATCGAAGCATATTTGGAAATTGAAGAGAAGCGGAAGACCTTACAACACCACTTGGTCCATTCTGAAGAAGGCTGTCCCATACACAAGCGGAAGACCAAGATGCAACCTATGCTTGCAAGAGAAGCTGCTGATTTTAAAATCTCGCGACCAAAATCTACTCAACAAAAGATCGGAAATCTTCTCGAAGTGCGTGCACCAGAAACAATTTTTAGCGGGAAATGTAGTCTGCGCGCGTGTAAGCAACATCAACAATCCTCGCGCGCACGCGCAGTCACGCCATCAAACAACGAAAATCAAACGGTATTTAATTGAGAACAATGTCTCCTGACGATCGCAGCGATGCGTGAAACTCGGAGTAGAGACAAAAAACATTTTAAGTAAGAATAGTAACTATATATATATATATATATATATATATATATATATATATATATATATATATATATATATATATATATATATATATATATATATATTAGTTGTGTAATTGTACACTCTGTAAAAAATGTGTGTGTGTGTGTGTGTGTGTGTAATAAT